GGACTGGGAGAAGGGACTTACATATGAAACAAGCTTGTTCCCTAACTAGAACTAATAAATAAATTAAAAAAAAGCAGAGGTAAGAAAGAATAGAATTTGAATTTATTTTGTGGGGAGCGAGGGTAAAGAGTTTTACTATATAGCCTAGAGTGGCCTTAAATTTATGATTCTCCTGCCACTGACTCTTAGAGTTCTAGTACTGCAGGTCTATGCCACTGTACCTAGTGCCTCCAATGTCATTCACAGATACAGTTTTGAAGCTTTGGACATGTGACCATACAAAGAAACTGAAGCCCTTTCAGATATATTCTTTCACCTTGGGTATAGACACTGAACTCTATCACCATGTACTAGATACTGAGTTGGGGCTAATAGCTGCAATTCAGTTTGTGCCTGGCCTAGGGCATGGATTTTTGTTAGGGAACTGTTGTCCCCAATAAGACAGTTTTCAGTGCTTAGAGGGGAAATTGAGATCCATAGTCATTGCTATGGCTTTATCAATACAATTGTATAACAGGAAAGATCCAATGAAAGCTATTTTGTATGTTTAGACTTAGGTGATTAAAGAAATGAATTGTTGCTGCCATCTCCCCATTAAAAAGGAGGGCTGATAAAGTTAGGAATGCCTCCCCCCCTTGCTGGACTGTGATCCTCATGTAGTTTTTTTGGAAACTATTCTGTTCTGGAATATACTTCAATGAGCTCTTAATCCCCTAATTAAACAGTTCTGCTGGATTATCCAAATACATGGTGTGGGATGAAATGTTTTACAAGATTTTCCTTTAATAAATCTCATTGGGCTCCAACTGAAGTCTAATTAGTTCCTTTGATTGGTGTGTTGTACACAAGGGTACTAGAGCCAACTGCTGGTACTAAAGTGTTCTCACTCTGCTAAGAGCTTCAACCCTTGATTTTTGGCAGCTGTTATTTACAGAGACAGATGGTGGATGGGCTCATCATCACAATGACTTGTGTACCTGGTAGAAGAGAGAAAACGAATGCTCAAAGCAAGAATTTTAATTAGGTCTCTAGAAAGTGGCTTTATGAATTAAATGAGCCTTATTTTCAAATTTTCAGCCATAGGTCATGTTACAAAGCTTAATTTGCATGAAGGTGTACATCCATGGGATACCTTGGACTGCCTCTTTTACTTGTTTTGTGTATCTGTGTTGGTTAGTTTTCTCATCACTTGGTCCAAACAACTGAATACAGTAGGAAGGGTTAATTTTGGTTCAGAGTTCTAGGGGCTTCTGTGTATGGCCACTTGGCTATGGTGCTTCTGAGCCTTGGTGAGACAGGGCATTGTGGGAAGAAGCATGTGGTGGTGTTCACTGTACAGTGGGGAGGAGAGACAGAGACACAGAGAGAGACACACACAGAGAGAGACACAGAGACAGAGACACAGAGAGACAGAGACACAGAGAGACAGAGAACAGGGCCCAGGACAAGGGCTATCTTTTCCAGGGACCTTGGAATGATTTACCACATTGCCCAGCTTCAACACCTCCCATGAGTCTTTCCTAATTTCCCATCCAGCAATGGATTGATCCATTGATGAAAACAGAATCCTCGTGACCCAATCAGTGCCTTCAGAGCCCCTCCACTGAGCATTGGTTGAACCAGGAACCAGGCCTTCAAGGAGTGAGCATCTTGATGGCCGAGCACCTTACCCAAAGCACAACACTACCTTTCTCCTAGTCCAGGCCCCATTTAAATGCTAGCTCCTTGACAAATCACCTGTGACATTCACCATAAAAGGCAACACAGTGTCATTTACAGACTGTGGGTTATGAAGCTAAAGTTACATTTGTATTTAATTTCCAGTAATGGTTAATTTTGTGTTGTTCAGATTCCATAAAGTCCCCAAATCTCAGTACAATGAGTAGATATAAAATAAGCTTAGGTATGGGAAAAGAACACATTGTGATGTGACAACATGCATTAAGTTGGAAATAACCTTTTCATTATGTATGCTTTTCCTCACTGATAACTATATCTACTTGTCATTACCTATCTATCTATACACCATTCTCCCTTATACAGGCATAACGCTGAAACTCACACAGAAGCACAAAAGATCTCAACTTACACTAGAGTCATAGGAACAAAAACAGCAGGTGAAGACTAATGGAGTAGAGCAAAGGACTCATAAATGAACCTGTGCAATTACAGCCACCTGCTTTTTTCCAAAGATGTCAAGCATGTTTCTTTTTCAACAACTGGTGCCGGGGAAACTGGATATCCATGTAGAGAAGAATGAAACTAAGCCTTTTTCTCTTACCTTATACAGACATCAGTTTCAAATGAGTCAGCAAGCTTAAGTTATAACTGGAAAAACTGAAAGTGCTAGATGATAGCATTTCCAGATATAGGAAAAAGCAAGCACTTTCTGAAAAAGTCTCCAACAGCTCATGGAACCATTGTAAGTATTGGTAAATGGGAGTTCATGAAAATAAGAAGCCTCCTCATAGCACAAGAGGATTAGCATCTGTAAGATATAAAGAACTCAAAAATTAATCATCAGGAAAACCAACATTTCAATTAGTAAGTGGGATAATGCAATGATCAGACAGCTCTCAAGAAATTCAGACAGCCAATGAAAACAGGAAAGGCATTCAATACATTTAGCCATAAGGTGAATACAAATTAAGACCATGGGGAGATTTCATTCTACCTCAATCAAAAGGCCTATAATGAAAAAAATATCAAATTATGGTTATGGAATCTTACACATTATTAGTAGGAATGTAAATTATTGCAAATAAGTATGGAAGTTACTTAAAAAACTAAGACTGGAATTGATATATACCCAGCTGTACAACTCCTGGGGATACACCTGGAGAGTTCTAAGGTAGTGTGCCACAGAGGTACTTGTAAATCTATTCTTATTGCACTGTTCACAATAATGAAGACAAGTAACAAACCCAAGTGTCCATTAACACATTGGATAAAAAAAATGTGCGCAATGGAGTTTTATCTATTTGTACATCATTAAATTCGGTAATTTTCAGAAAAAAGAATGGAACTGGAAAACATATTAACCAAAAAAGCAAGACTCAGAAACACGAGTAGCATGTTTTCTCTCATATGTAGGATTTAGATATCATGATATATATAGGACAAGAAAGCAGAAGGGAGATTATTTGGAAAAGAAAGGGGACCAGCAGGAAGGGGGAAGAGTACAAACTAGGGTAAGGCATTGGGGAAATGTGTTTAAAATACATTATATACTTGTATGGAAACATCATGAGACCCATCACTCTGTACAGAGAATATGCATTGATAAAAATTTTTAGAAAGAAGAAATATGTGTGTCCAGTATATGGCATGATAGCTCTGCAAAGTCTGCACTTTGTTGGATGTTCAGAGCTGCTGGGGACCACATTGATGATGGGGAATGTACTGTGTATGTTTATCTTATTGATTGTTAAATAAAATACTGTTTGGCCAATGAGACAGCAAGTAGACGGGACTAGGAGTCAAAGAGGATTCTGGGAAATGTAGTAGAGAAGTGCTGATCCAGGCAGGAAGTGACATAGCAAGGAGACTCATATTTAAGCGAAGGAGAAACAGGAAGGGCCCCTTTTTCCTCTCCTCTCTTCCTCCAGCAGCGCAATGTGATCCACCGACAAGGAGGGATGCCAATAAGGCGTCCAATAAGATAAGTCATAAAATATATAGATTTATGATAATTAAGACTGAGCTAACAGATGAGAAGTCCTAGTCATTGGCCAAGCAGCTTTGAACCTAATACAAGTTTCTGTGTATTCATTTGGGCCTGGGGTTTGGCGGCTTTTGGTGGAAAGATTTATCATAACACATTGATGCCTTCTGAATAACAGACTTTCATGTCCCTTCTAAGTGACATGTGAAGTCTCTACAATATTAGTAGTTTTCAGGTTGGCCAAGCATGAAGATGCTGTTACTATTATATTGAAGTGCACTATAGAAAATTCAAAGAACTCATGTAAAAAGATGGGGGAGGGACCCCCAGCATCTTTGAATTTGAATTAGATATTTTGGTTCTGGACAAAACATGTGTGTGTGCACGGGCATGCACGGGCGTGTGGGCATGCACGGGCGCGTGTGCGCGCGCGCGCACACACACCGAGGGAATGTGATTAGTTGCTCTGGTGATGGAAAAGGTGTTAAAACAAAAAAAAAAGAAAAGGCTGCTACAAGAAAATTTTTTTTCCTTTAACTTAAATGTTCAAATGGACCATTCATATTTAGCTGGGGAAATAGCTATGCCTTTTTCAATGAGTAACAGGTCACATAAAATCAATAAGCTCAAAAGTTATGTGATCCAGATGTTTGTCCAGTGTTTCAAAGTTGCTATAAGGACCTCAAAAACAGTTTTTGGTTTATCATTGACTGGTTCACTTTCATAATTTGTTGTTTACAAGATAAAGTGTTATATTTGGATGAATTTGGGGTTTTGCTTAAAATATAGAGATATTCTGGTTAATGAATAATCCTTGACTGGGAGAGCCAGCAGTGACATTTGGACAGCAGAGGTAGAATTGGAGAAGACAAGTCTGAGATTGCATATGGAATAGAATGGCTTTGGGGGATGCCTTAGCAATGAGACTTGTGGAAGAGAGAGAATGGAATCAATTAGACAAAGGAGCCTCATTACAGCCTCAATAAGGACAGCTCCAGCTGAGTTAGTTCTTGAGGAGCTCTGGAGTGAGAATAACCCTTCAGCTGTGTTTTGGGTTAGCCTGGCTTTTATACCAACAAATCAATCAGTCGCTGTATGTCTGTCACCCTGGGAATGGCATGACCTTGGGCGAGGCACCTTTCCTTAGGAGAGACAAGTAGCTGGAGTCTTTCTTCCAGGAGCATATTGCCAGCAACAGGAAACAAATTCTTCATGTAGAGGAGTGAGTATACATGACAATGTGTGTGTGTGTGTGGGGGGGGCAGGGAGGAAGAGAAAGGAAGGGAGAGTTGGAGATAGGAAAGGAAAGAGAGAGAGAGACAGAGCAAGCAAGCTAGTGAGTGAATGAGATAGCATTATTAACTATAATTAGACTGATACAGGGGGTCTTACTGCTGTCCTGTTTATGTGGCTCAATCTGGATGGAATAATGAGCATTGAACAGAAGATGGCAGTATAGTGCCAATTTCGATGTGCTTTTATGTAGCTCAAATTTCAGAGGTAAGAAAGTAGAATCATCTTATTGTTTTAATAAAGAAAAAGAGCAAGAAAGATGAGATGCTGTTTTCATGTTTTTTTTCTCACAGCTGAAATACTTTGAAGAGGTGACATGTGGTGTGTGTGTGTATACGTGCAGTGCAGTGCATGTTGGCAGCTACAAAGGAGGTATCAAATGGCAAAGCTGACTCTTCCTTTTTCTTATCTCTTCACCTTCTTCCTGTAAATCTCTCTTCTTCTTCGCTTTCTTCCCAAATTCCCAAATGCCAGCATCTGTCCTCTAGGCTCTTCATGGGAAGTTTTGGTAGATTAAGGAAATGGTACCCCTATGAATCTTGCAAAATGTAAGTACCATGGCTGTTAGAAACCCAACTCAGAGGTTAAGAAGTGATTGAAGGTGCTGGGGAGGATGTGGAATAAGTCTCAGAAGGTGGCAGTTAGTACCGTGTTTGAGAAGTGCTTACAGTAGAGTGATGAGCCCATTGATGTAGAGTCACATTGGTGTCTCTGTCTGCTCTTTACAGATGCTCAGAACTCAGATGATTGTCTCTCTCTGTGCCTTTAAATGCCCTCTTGGCTGGGAGAATTAGTAAAGCTTATCTAGCATAGGTCTGCTTGATGAATGGCAGCCAACAAGTATAAATGATTAAGTTCAATGAAGGACAATGAAGGCTTGGTAAAGTCTTACAGTTTTTATTGCTGTGAAGAGACACCATGACAATGGCAACTCTCATAAAGAAACCATTTAATTGGGGTGGCTTGATTACAGTTTCAGAGGTTTAGTCCATTCTCATCATGAAGGGGAGCATAATGGTGTATAGGCAGAAATGGTGCTGGAGCTGAAAATCCTATTCTTGCAGGAAACAGGAAGTTGGCTGACACACTGGGTGGTATCCTGAGCATATGAAACCTCAAAGCTCAGCCCCACAGTGACACACTTCCTCCAACAAGGCCATACCCACTCCAACAAAGCCACACCTCCTAATAGTGCCACTCCCTGTGAGATTATGGGGTCAATTACATTCAAACTACCACAGTAAATGTTAGTGATTAAAAAAAATGGTTTTTAAAAATTCTTGAGAATGTATACTATGTTTGAAATTGACCTGTCTGCCTCAGGAGCAAAGATGAACACAGTATCCTCATGGAACTCACGAGAGGGCACATAAAATCAGATAGTGTGGCCCTAATACTGAAATACAGGCACAGATTATGGGAGAACAAGGAAGGCACAGAATTCTGTGATGATGGAAATGAGCTTGAGGAATGCTTCCTGGGGGTTACTTTTCTTTTTTAAACATTTTTATTGATTCTTTGAGAATTTCACATCATTCACCCCAATCCCACTCATTTCCCAGTGAAGCAAAAAAAAAAAAAAAAGGAACCCCACAAACACACACACACACACACACACACACACACACACACACACACACAAGCAATCAGCACTTCGCTCCTCCATCTTTCCTGCCTCTCCATTGCCTATTCAGTCGTCTTAGTGGCATAGGTGGTAATAGGAGCCACGGACATCAGCACAGACCCTGGCTACAGTAGGGCCATGGACCCAGACATGGGCCTTGGCTACAGCTCAGGCCCAGATGTCTCCTTGGCCCCTGGTGGCAGTGCAGGCCATCCAGATTGGGATGATCCCTGTGGTGGCATGACCCTCAGAAACTAATGTGGCCACATGTGGTGGCCCAGTCCCTGGGCATCCTCATGGGTGTCTGGTAATAGAAACCATGGATATCAACATAGACTGTGGTTGCCGTAGGTCAAGGATCCAGACATGGCCCTGGGTGGCAGCCAGGACATCCAGATCTGTATAGCCCTGGCTGTGGCACCATGGCCCTCTGATAACAACATGACCTCAGGTGTCAGCCCAGACCCCAGGCATCTGCATGACCTTTGGTGGTAACATGAGTCACAGACATCAATATAGACCATGGCTGTGATAGGGCCACAGACCCAAACATGGCCCTCAGCTGCAGCTCAGGCTCAGTTCTGGACTTCTCCTTGGCCAGGAGTGGCAAGCAGGCCATTCACATAAGCCTGTTCCTCACCACCTTTGCCTCTTCAGATCTGTCTCCACAGGACATGAGTCATTCTGCCTTTGGGGAGGCATCAGAACATGAGTGTGGGTATGGATAACTAGGCTGGAATGATGAGGTGAGAGAAAGACAGGGAAGCCAAGCTAAGATACTTGTGAGCAGGGCTTGACTGACCATTTAGTGTTGCCAAATGACAGAGTTGGAGTAGGAAGCAGAAAGGGTGTAGGTTATGGGGGCAGATCACATGCTTTGTGGTGTTTCAATGCCTGGAGGACCAGCCTCCAGCAGTGCAGGGCTCAAAGGGAATCCATGAAGTCTGTGTACTATAACTTTTTATCTGAGAAGGTAAAGGGAAAAGACACTCACATTCTCTTTATGGTTTCCTTCAGACCTTTCCTTTATTTTTCTTTGCATTCTCTATTCTTTATTTTCCTGGTGATTTCCTTCTCTCATTCTTGATGTTTTCCTTCTATTTCATTTTAACTCTATCTTTATTCTTTCCCTTACAGCTTATATACCCCAGAAAAATCTTTCAGGCAATATAAAAATTACAATGTGACTATAACCTTTCAAGTGAATAATTACAATGAATACAAGTAAAAGCAGCATGTTTTCCATATCTCTTACATGAATAAATATTTTACATATTACACATGAAAAACAAATTATCCCAAGAAACCAGGTACATTCATACCTAAGCAACTTGTTATAGATTAACAGTGTGTAAGCAAGCAAGATATTCTTTTACTGGAAGGCTGCATTTTGAGGTTACAAAGTAAGGACCAATCACTTTATTACTTATCTAGAAAGGTAATCTTATAAAGAATCTTAAAGGAATCACAAATCTAAACTTTTATATGTGAAAAAGAATCAGCTCTACTTTAAATCGTTAGGGAACATACCCATTCACCAATAATTTTTATATTAGGTTATTGAGGGAAAAATGGGTACAAGGAATTAATCATCATCTTTGATTGCCAGCCAATCCTAGCAAGAAAAGTATGCCGGCTAGTAATAACTGGACTGCTTTGTATTTGTTCCCTGACCATAAAGAGTTTCTCACTCAAATATGTGACTTTCTAAAACTTTAGATTGTCTTCTTGGGTTTTTCACCTCAAAGCTATTTGACAAAAACATTTAGTCTAACTTTCAGTTATTTTCAAAGCTTTGTTTCAGCTATGATGCACTCCAAAACCTGTGAACACATCTCCCAACATTAAGATTAAAAGAATTTAAACTAGCTGGGCTACTGGGACTCAATTGTTTTTCTTAATCATTAACCAAGGCCACAGTCTATGTGACTCCTCAATAGAAACTCATGTGTTCTAGCTGTGTGACACTTCCATGTTTTTTTTTTTTTTTTTTGTTTTGTTTTTGTTTTTTTTTTTTTTTTTTTTTTTCGAGACAGGGGGTTTCTCTGTGTAGCTTTGGAGCCTATCCTGGCACTCGATCTGGAGACCAGGCTGGCCTCGAACTCACAGAGATCCGCCTACCTCTGCCTCCTTAGTGCTGGGATTAAAGGCGTGCACCACCAATGCCCGGCCCATGTTTTATTTTTTTATCATTAAAACTCTATTTAAACCAACATCATTATTATCAATTAGACAATACAGCTTAAGAAGAAATCATCTTCATAATAATTCACAAGTAAATATGCTCAGTAGAATGGGATAGTTCCATGAGATAAACACACTACATTACAGGCAGTGGGGATCTCCGTACACCCATTCACACCATGTCAGTTACCAGAGAAAGATGGTCACAGCAAACATTTAAAGGCACAGAAACAAAAGACATTCTGGAGGGTGTGGTCTCAGGGCCTTACCTATCCAATATTCACCCATCATGGATTTTCCTCCTGGTGGACTGACACCTGAACTTCAAATGCCATCTGCTGCTCCTCTGATGAGGCCACTAGCAGTGTTGGCCCAGATCACTGACTGGCTGCAGTTGACTTTGAATTCAAATCTTTTACTTAACAACCTCCTAAATATCCTACCTGTTAACATCACACTAGTGATTGAATTTCAACAGATGAGAGACTGAACCAAGGCAAAGGTTCTTGTACTGAACTAACCCCCCAGACTTTGACATAAGAGTTTTGAGGCACACATTTAAACCACAACAGCAGCAGGGTGTGTGAACAAAGAGATGGTGAGATTTTCACTTGATTGTCACCTGGGTGTGCTTTCAAATGTTAGAAAAAGTAACCCCTCAGCCATACTCCTGTAACTACCCTCAACAAACTCTGACTTGCTAAATTTGGCACTGGCACAATTTCTTCTTTCAACTGTAACTGGACAAGGTGACACCTGGGATGCAACCATCCCTAAATGGACCTTTGAAAGTGTGGACCTATTTCAGTTCTTTTACAGTGTGTGTGACCAGTTCTGTTTCTTCTCATCTTTGAGGACAGTGAAAACCACTAAGCCTTAAATATTTTGCCAGACTAACAAGGATGTAAATTAGCATCTCAGTGTTGATTTGATTTGTATCTTCTTAATTATGAATGTGATGAAGCATGCTAAAAATCTATTTATTGGACATCAGTATTTCTATTGAGTTGTATAGCTTTTCATTATTGATTTGTGGAACTCATTTGCAGTAAAGAAATTAGCCTGCTGTCTAGCAAAAGCACAGCCAATACACTCCTGGGCATTTTTGTAATCATTTAACTTTGTTTTTATATGGATTCAAATTAATGGTTTTACTTTAGAGGTTCTGGGATTAAATCATTTTTGAAATCTATTTACCTTTATTTTAAAAATGATTATTTTTCCTGTGTATATATCTGTGCAGCATGTGTGTGCAGTGCCCTCAGATTTATTCAGATTCCTTGAAACAGGAGTTACAGATGATTGTTAGCTACCATGTGCATGCTGGGAATTGAACCTGGGTTCTTTGGAAGAGCAGTCAATGCTCTCAACCACTGAGCCATCTCTGTAACCTGAGGTTATGGGTTTTATGTCATGTTTGAAAAATGTTGTCCATTCCAATATTATAAAACTACAGATACTTCTCAATTGGTAGTGGGATTATATTCTTATAAACCTATCATAAGTTGAACATATCAACTTAGGTTGTAAATGTGTTTACTATACCGGGTCTATCAAACATTATAGCAATACATTACAATGTACATTATTGTATACCTTCATGATCACATGGTTGAGGGGGACTGCTCAGCACCAAGGACAATATCATATGCCTTATAACTTATATAAGGGAAAGGACAATCTTCAGATTTATTTCTACTGTTTCTACTGAATAAATCCAGGGAAAGGACAATCTTCAGATTTATTTCTACTGTTTCTACTGAATAAATCCATTTTACTGTTATGAATAATTATGTCAAATTATCATAAGGCAGAATCTATTTGTTAGATCATACTTGTCTATTATATCTACTATTCTGTTTTTGTTTGGTGTTTTGAGGGTCTCATGCAGCCTAGTCTTAAATATGCTCTGTAGCCAAAGATGGTCTCAGACTCTTGATCTCCCTGCTCTCACTGCCTGAATTCTAAGATTACAGCTATGTGCCAACATGACCAGCTAATTCTCTTTTAATTTTAAAGTGAATTACATTTTTTATGAATTTTATTTTGTTTAAAACAAAAAAGAAAAAAAGCCAACCATTATCCCAACACCTAGACAGGTAGCTTCTGTTAACAGCAATTACCATAGTTAAGAAAAATTATACACATGAGATTTTATAAAATTAAGAGGATAGAATTTAAATATTAAACACTTATCTTTATCATGAACACAGAGATCCCTCAATGCGCCTCTCCCAAGAGGTTTGCCTGCCACCAATTTCTTATGTCCTTTTTACTAGAAGTATAATTAAAGAATATGGGAAGGAAAGGCAGAAGATAAAATTCTCAAACGCTGAGTTGGCACAGGATGTCTCAGCTCTGTGTTTAACCACTTGTCTTCAATTAAGTTCGAGCTTTATTCTCATTATTATTTATAAATGTAGCACAATGTTTAATGAGTGTTAATGATGTTTAGTTTAATGTCCCATAGTCTGGAACTGTCTCCAAATGGCATATTAGTGTGTTTAATTGTGTGAATGTAAAGTAAAAAATATATTTGTCTAATGAATAAAAGAAAAATGTAAACTTTGGCATCTATAAATCTTTTGAAAATGTATGTACTATGTTGCTGTTTTGTCTTCCATTCAAAATAAGATGAATTATTGTTAAAAAATAGAATTGTGCTTAAAAATACCCCTGGGAATTGTCTCATCATAAGAAACAACAAAAGAACGTAGCCCAATTCACTTTTATAAAATGCCACCAAGAAATTTCAGTGCTATTTGTTGAATAGGCTGTCTTTTCCTGCTGACTTGAAATGTCTGCTTTTCCAAATAGTAAAGCCTTTTGTCTGTTTACAAGAACTTGGCCTTGTCACCACTTGAACTTGTCACTAATCTCTGCATGATCATCTTTGAAGGGGTACCCTGGACCTAAGCTTACTTCTGTGTTGGCCACAGGATCAGGCATTGTATTACTATTTATTGTGATGAAATGGCCAGCAGAAGCAAGTTAGGGAGCAAATATTTCCCTTATTCACTATGGAGAGGAAGGTACAGTGGTTGGGGTAGGTAGATCTGTGGTAGTGGGAACTTGAAGAGATACGGTGCTGACCAGGAACTAGAGAGTTAGCCTAGAACTGGAGACAGGATAGCTTTCAAAGCCCACCCCTGACAACCTTCTAATCCCTATATCCAGAGACTTCCACAGCTTCCCAAACTGGGAATTAAGTATTCAAACACATGAGCCCATGAGATGCACTGCTTGTCTCCTAGTCCTATCCTGTATACTGCCCCAGTTTCATTGTGATGTCAGGTTCTCCTCTTGATTGAGTCTTCTTCAGCCCATGATGGGGACAAGCTCTCCTCTCTCCTGGTACCTGCTATCTGTCCTCAGACCTTCATCACTTAATTTTTTCATTATCTTTTTGTTCATGAAACCATTTTATTGAAAAATTGAAAGTATAAGCACTCTCTCATATAAATTGTTGCGTGATTTGTTGCAACGAAAAGAAGGGACTGAGAGGGTCTTTATAGACGCTTTTAAAATTGGGTCTTTGGTTCTGTGGTCTCTGTGTCTAAGGAATTGTGAAGACAGCAGTGGAAGACACTTTTTTAAAAAAGAACTTTAATTCAACATAACTCATATTGGTTAATAGAAAACAGTTATCCTACATAATAGAACACATCCTACAATCTTGACCAGTAACTCAGTACATAGTTTACAATGAAAACATTGCAATATGGTTTATTTCTATCTATTACAAATGTATAAAAGATCCTCCATCAAATGCTTCAGAAAGCATCAGAATCCTGAGACATACACTTTTGGTTTGCCTCAGAAAGGTACCACTTATTACACTGTAAAGAGAGATGCTCTTTAAGAACTTGAAAAGCTTTCTGAAAATCGGAATGTATAGACTCTCTTTAACATCAGATTTTCTTGCTGTGTAGAAGAAGGCTTTCTACACAGTGACTACAAACTAGTTCATGCTATTCAGGGGAGAAATGAGCAAGCATGTGTGGAATTCCAGGTTCTCTGCACATAACATTCAACTCATTTTCTTTCTAAAAACCATCGAGATCAGCATCATCATCTTCATTGTGAAGATGTGAATAGTCACCCAAATGTCAGTAGGTTTCAAATCCTAGGATTTCAATTGAAGTCCAGACAAAACCTTTGCATTATATTTTCCATATTCCAGGCTTCCTAGAGGTAGACATATTGGTCATTAAATATCTTATTGATTACTTTTAGAAGAAGGAAATACATTTATCTCCCTTGGTAGATAATTGTAGTACAAAATGTGAACGTTATTAATGATTCATTTTCTGGGATGCAGATCAGATGGCATTACCTCTGGAACTGAAGAGGCTGTGATAGCACAAGCATCTCAGCAGAGGGCATTGTAAGATCAGCAACGTTGTTAGCTTTGGGGCTGTGGCGACCTGGATGCAGATACAGAATCTTCCAGTAGATGGCGTTTTCCCCTTACACTTACAGCAAGTTTGGCCAAGAGGAGAGTCTGCACTGAACCTCTGTTATTAACGAAGGCTCCAGGGGATCCCGGTTCTTTCCCTGGTCTGGAGCTGAGCACAGGGGGTTTTCTTTGCGTTTGGGTGGGCTTAGGACCAGTGGTCAGCGAGGTCGTTTTCTCTCTGCTTTTGCTCCGGTGTGAGTAGATGTGAATTGGCAGGCCCTGCTGGCAAGGCCACAGTAAGCTGTAACTCGGGTGACACTGCTGTTAAGTCTGGTGACACTGATGTGCTGGAGTCGAACAGCAGGAAGAACCATCACAAATTAAGTGTCCTTTACTGGATACCCAACTTGTATTTGGTACCAAGAGAGGAACTTTTGATCAAATTATTTTATGTAGTTTTCACAGTAACTTTGCAAGTAAGTTTCCATTGTTGTCTACATTAAAAAAATTGGTAATTGTTATATGCACACAGTAACATTTTATTGAATACATCTCTTTTTTAACAATAAAAATGTGAAGTGTTTTATTGGTGAACATAAAATGTGTTTTTTTTAACATTTATTGTGCTTTATTCATACTTGACCCAAACTGAGAGCATTCAGCTATCTTTTTTCTCTTTTTTCTACATTTTATAGATAAATTAACTAAGCCTTAGAGAGATTAAGGAATTATTTAAAACCATGACACAAGAATTTATACTGTCCAAAACCCAAGAACCCTGGTAGAAGAAATAAGTATATGCTTAAAATCTGTTATGTAGTAGCGACTGTGGTCATCACCAATGCCTATCTTTATTTTTAAAACTTTGGTGCATGTAAATGTTCTAGAGACTCTATAAAAAGGAATAGTTATAGATACAAATTTGAGACTCAGGAAGACTATACTACACATTCAAGGTCACACCCAGCAATAATAAACACAGCCAGGACTCAAATGAAAATCTCTGTGACTTGGAATATTTGTTCTTTTGCATATGCAAATAAATAATATTTGGAATGTGAACATTCACTCACCCAGCAACACTGACCAGCTACTCTCCAAACACTAGAGTTTCACAGCTTCTGCATTCTCTTAAGATTGGCAACATGTTAACATTCTTTAGTCATCCAGGTTCATTTTAGAGGCATCTGTCCTAGCATGGTACCCAGTCATCATAGTCAGGCAATAAAAGCTTATTAGATGGGATGGAATGAACTGATCAGATACAGCTGGAGTACTTGAAGTGGTATGGTTCTTTGGACTTTGCTTTCCAAGTCTTCTGAAACCAAATTTGTTGAAACGAATTTGACTCAATATGCCCAACACATGTTGAGTGCCTGCCATTCTTACTCCATTGTTATTTATCTGTTTTTGGCCACACCACCTTGTCTGTTGCCAAAAGTAGATTATACACAGTCATACAAATTTACATTAAGGTCTAAAGTAAGGGCTGAGCCTACTATCCTCATACTGGCAGACTGCTAAAGAGGTTACCCTAAAGGAGGCTATGGGAAATCAGTTTTTGAGGCTTGGTTAAGCTGTTAATTGTCTGTGTGAACGTGAACTTGAACAGGAGCCATCACATCTTTATCAGATGCCTTCCTTGTCTTAGATCTCACTAACACAAGCTCCACAGAGGCATAGTCTAAGGCCTAATTTTGTCCTTTGCAGAAGGCCTGACATATAGTAGGTGGTCAGTGAACATCAAAAGGAGGGAAACTAGTCTTTGAAGTAGTTGAAGAAATTTTTTTTTTATAATTATAAACTATTTGTTCAATGCCTCAGGCTTTTTTATTTAAATTAGAAACAATTTCATTTTATATATTATTCCTAGTTCCCTCTCCCTCCCATCCTCCCATGCCCCCCACTGACCCCCATCCCATCCCTCTTCTGCTCCATAGAAAGGGTG